CTGGCAAAGTCCACACGTGTAGCTGCTGTTTGTGTTGTTGAAAAAAGGTTATTTGCAATGAATAAGTTGTTGGTCTTGTAAAATTCTATCATGCGATTTCCAGTGTTATTTCTGTCACCAAGGCCAAATTTTCCAACTACTGGTGATTTTTCTTTGTTTCCAACTTTTGCATTTCAAAAAGCTGCACCATGGATGACTGCATGTTCAGTCAATTACACACTGCAAAAGTTGATAAAAATCTTCAATTTCTTCATCTTTGGCTTTGGTGGTTGGTGCGTAAATTTGAGTAATAGTCATATTAACTGGTCTTATCACTGACAGCACTGTACTTCAGGACAGATCTTGAAACATCCTGTGCAATTATAAATGACACACCATTCCTCTTCAAATTGTCATTCCCAGCATAGTAGATCATATGGTCGTCTGATTCAAAATGGCCAAAACTGGTCCATTTCTGCTCACTAAGGCCTAGGATATCAATCTTTATGCATTCCATTTCATTTTTCACAACTTCCAATTTTCCTAAATTCATACTTTGTACATTCCATGTTCCAATTATTAATGGATGTTTGCAGCTGTTTCTCCTCAATTTGAGTTGTGCCGCATCAGTAAATAGGGGTCCCAAAAGATTTACTTTATCCATATCAGTAAGGTTGGCTCTACTCTGATGAGGCAACTCTTTGCCAGTTGTATTTTCAGTGCCTTCAGACCTAAGGGGCTCATCTTCCTGCACTGTATCAGACAATGTTTCAGAGCTATTCATAAAGTTGCCCAGTAATGTATCAGACAGTGTTTCTCTCCTATTCATAAGGTTTTCCCTAGCTAATTCTTTAAGAAGTGGATGGCCTCTTCCTTCTTCCTAGTCTGTCTCAGTCTATAAGCTGCGTTGAAACCTGTGCACCATGTGCAACACTGCTGGGTTTTGAAACACCAGTGGCACAGCCTCAAGCCTCCCCATCAACACACAAGCCACTACAGTATGACAAACTGACAGACAAGTTTGTCTCCCTTAGCTGTTAGAAACCTTTCCGGCCTCGCCTCCCTTTCCTGCCTCTGGGGGTGGTCCTGTCTGCCACCCCTTCCCTGGATCCTGCTTCCCCCACTTTCCTGTCTCTGGAGGTGGGTCCTAGGTACCATCCCTTACCTGGATCCTGCAGCTTTTTGTCATCTCTGGTGCCCCCTTCCTCTCCTGCCTCTGGGGGTGGGTCCTGTCTGCCCTCCCTTTATTGAGATGCTGCTTAGTTCCAGTTGTGAGGATTTTCATTTTATGTTGAAGTATAGTCCATACTGCAGACTGTAGTCTTTAATCCTCATCAGTAAGTGCTTCAAGTCATCTTCAATTTGCACAAGCAAGGTTGTGTCATCTGCATGTCGCAGGTTGTTAATGAGTCTTCCTCCAATCCCGATGCCACGTTCTTCTTCATACAGTCCAGATTCTTGGATTATTTGCTCAGCATACAGATTGAATAATTACAGTGAAAGGATACAACCCTGACACCTTCCTTTCCTGATTTTAAACCATGTAGTATCCCCTTCTTCCGCTCAAACAATAGCCTCCTGGTCTATGTACAGGTTCCTCATGAGCACAATTAAGTGTCCTGGAATTCCCATTCTTCTCAAGGCTATCTATAACTTGTTATAATCCACACAAACAAATGCTTTTGCACACTCAAACACAAGTAAACATCTTTCTAGTATTCTCTGCTTTCACTCAAGATCCATCTGACATTAGCAATAATATCCTTCATTCCACATCCTCTTCTGAACCCAGCTTGCATTTCTAGAAGTTCCCTGTCAATAGATTGCTGCAAACATTTTTTAATTACCTTCAGCAAAATTTTACTTGCATGTGATATTAATGACATTGTTCAAAAATTTCCACATTCTGTGGGATCACCTTTCTTTAGAATGGGGACAAATATGGATCTCTTCCAGTCAGTAGACCAGGTAGCTTCTTCCAAATTTCTTGGCATAGACAAGTAAGTACTTCCAGTGAAGCACCCCTTTGTTGAAACATCTCAATGGGTATCCCCCCCCCCCCATCGATTCCTGAAGCCTTGTTTTTTGCCAATTCCTTCAGTGTAGCTTCAACTTCTTCCTTCAATACCATTGGTTCTTGATCATATGCCACCTTCTGAAATGGATGAACATCAGCCAGTTCTTTTTGGTACAGTGACTCTGTGTATTCCTTCCATCTTCTTTGGATGTTTCCTGCATCATTCAATATTTTTCCCATAGAATCTTTCAATATTGCATCTCGAGGCTTAAGTTTTTTACTCAGTCCTTTCTGCCTGAGAAATGCTGAGCGTGTTCTTCTCTTTCAGTTTTCTGACTCCATATCTTTGCACATTTCATTGACTTTGTCTTCTCAAACTGCTCTTTGAAATCTGTTTAGCTCTTTTATCTTGTCTTTTCTTCCATCTGCTTTAGCTACTCTCCATTCAAGAGCAAGTTTCAGAGTCTCTTCTGACATCCATTTTGGTCTTTTCTTCCTTTTCTGTCTTTTTAATGACCTTTTGCTTTCTTCATGGATAGGTTCTTGACACCATTCCACAATTCATCTGGTCTTCGGTCACTGGCATTCAATATGTCAAATCTATTATTTAGATGGTCTCTAAATTAAGGAGAGATATAATCAAGGTCATATTTTGGCTCTTATGGACTTGTTTTAATCATCTTCAGCTTCAACTTGAACTTGCATATGAGCAGTTGGTCCATTCCACAGTCAGCTCCCATTTTGTTTTGGATATTGAGCTTCTCTATCGCCTCTTTGCACAGATGTAGTCAATCTGATTCCTATGCATTCTATCTGGCAAAGTCCATGTGTACAGCCATCATTTACGTTGTTGAAAAAAGGTATTTTCAATGAATAAGTCATTGGTCTTGCAAAATTCTATCATGCAATCTACAGCATCATTTTTATCACTGCAGTGTAGTAAATTACTTTGTGTGGCTTTTCTACCCATAAGTCTTTGTAAACTCCAAAGTGGGATTTGCTATGAGCAACTGAGGAGCTCCTGATTGCTGAAGGTGTCCACCTGGAGTATTTCTGTTGGGAGCGGCACAAAACAATGTTCTGGGAGGTGCCCACTCTCTCTCAGGTGCTTAGAGTTCTGATGTTATAATTGGCTAGTTTGACCACCCCGTCGGGCTCAAAAGGAGGCCTCCTAGAGGCAGAACCCTCTCTCTGACTGCTGGTTGAGGAAGACATGCTGCTGAAAGAGACACGGGCTCCTGAGACACGCTGCGGGGAAAGAGACGCAAGAGACACGGATTGCTGAGTGAGACACCAAGGGACCAGCACTGCTGGGAAAGAGACTGTAAGAGACTGCTGGCTGAGGGACAGTGGGCTGGGAGAGAGACTGAGCATTTTTCCTGAAGCTGAATTGTAGCCTGTGGTGCTTCCCTAATAAACCCCGTAATCTGTGAGCTCTGTGTGGCCCCTGCAGCGAATTACTGAACCCAGGAGAGAAGTGGTGGGTGCTTTGGGAGGAACAGTTGGTGAAAGGGCTGGAGGGAGGCATCATGTCTGGCCTTGTAGGAATAGGCCTTAGGTTACTGCTGGTAATCCTGTCTTCCTCTTGCGGGATTAGAGGAGGTCAGAATATGTGACCCTCCTTGCTGTTTTTGCAATCACCAAGGCCAACCAGTTCAGTAGTTCTTGTTTTTTATTTTGTTTTTTAAGGAATTTCATTGTTCTGTTCCACATTTTTCTTCCATTCTATCAGCGTGCACAGACTGTGGTCCTGATCGAAAATTTAATTTTAACCAGAAATGCTTTCTATCTGAATTACATACTTTTTCAACTAAGCCACCATCAACATATTGGTCAAACTTAAGGACAGGAATAAAAAAACAGTTAATATTGTTATTTTTCCTATTAAAAGACAAGTATCAAATGTACATCTTCATAACTTCATTAAATTTAGTTTCTAATTACTATTTCTGAGGTTTTGTTTCAGGTTCAAAGTACTTATAAGCCAGAAAAATGGAATGCTTTTGTTTCAAAGAAAATTAAATAAAAAGAACTTTAACTCCTCAAAAAAAAAAAGTTTCTTCCTGACATTTTAATACATTGAAATACCATTTAAGTTTTTAAAAAAATAACAATAATAACCTAAGCATATTAATGCCCAATAGTTACTAAGCCAAAGTGTATTACTGGAACAGATGTATAACACACCTAACCCAATTTTTCTCCTAGTCTCACTTTTTATTTTTTAGAGTTAGCATTCAAGTATTACATATTCACACTCACAGCCCTTTCAAAAGTTGTATTAAAATTCAATACATAAAACAAAAATTTTTGGCAAGAGTAGTGAGTGCTGTGTTGCTTATAACTAAGCACTCATTTTACAATTTTGTTTGTATTTGGAACAAACAGTAACATACAAATATCCTTTCAAATTCTTATTTCTATACTACCAAAACCATTTCAGAAATATCACGAAAGCTAGTCAGCACTTTTTTACCTAATATACTCCAGAAAATTAATAATAAAGGTACTATTTATATTCACACAGACCTGAAATTGTTCTACTTTCATGATAACCCACACCCAAAGGGAAACTCCCAGATTTAAAAATGGAGTTCCTTTCAACAAGTCATTATAAGATTGGGTGGTGACGTAGATGGAGACCTTGTTTGGATCCTTATTCAAACAAAGTACCTATAAAAAGTCCTTTCTAAGACAACTGAGAAAATATGAATTAGGTATTACAAAATTAGGATAATTAATATAACAAAATGACTGCTTTTTGGGTGAGCATAATAATAGTCTTATTGTGGCTTTATTAAAAAATAATATTTTAAAAGGATACATATGGAAATATTTAGAGGTGACATGACAATGTCAGGATTTGAAATACTATAAGAATAAAAAGCAATTATGGCAAAATGTTGTTAAGCCAAAGAGTCATTATATTACTCTATCTATACATATGCTTAAAATTTTTCACTGAAAGAAGAAACAAAAGAAAGAATAAACAAACCAGGGTTACCTTTTCCCACTCAATTCAACTTGGCCCTTCTTATTGAAGAAGAACTTGGAATCATTATATCCCCATCCATTCCATTTCATAACTTCTTGCCTAATGAGAACAAAAAAGCATATAAATGAGACCTATGCTAAACATCTCCAAACTGAAAAGTATATTGTTGATGATTAACTTTCACAATCATTTAAAAGGAGATCTTATGCCCACTAATATTGTACTAGTTTAAATAAAATGAAGTACATATAAAAATGTCTTTATATTAATCTTTCTAAATAGAGAATCACTTCAAGGAGCAGCACCAGCTTCACAGAGGGCTACAACCACTAAACATAATGCATTCAAAAGAAGAAGGAAAAAAGAACGTAAGTTTACAGTATAAATATGTTTCATTTGTACATGCTATTGAGTTTACACTGTAGGACAGTGCAGTGCACTGAATCACTTAATATAGCCCTTCTCTGGTAGCATAGTGCCTAAGGCACTTGACTACTAACCAGAAGGCTGGCGGTTCAAACCC